CCCACCTCCAGGGCGTCCAGCCCAGCCCAGCCCAGCGCCGGGGGGAGCCTTAATTCTGATTGGCGTCGATAGGCTAGCCGAGTCGCGCCGCTTTCCTGGCCCCGCTCGCCTGCCAGGGTCTCTCCCTCTCCTCCTCTCCCCCTTCCTGCCGCTTTCCACTGATTCCTGCCTCCCCCTCGCAGGAATTTACCCGTGCGAGGTAAACCTCCCTTCTGCTCCTGAGCCCCGCGGCCAACGGCTGGATTTCCCGCATCTCTTGCGGGCGGCGGGGGTCCTCGCCTCTTGCTGCAGCTTGGCCTCTTCTTCCTTCTTTTCCCCGAAGGAAGAAAAAGCCGCTTACCCCGTTTATCTGCCCCCTCAAGACTCATCTCCTTTGCGGCCCAGCTTGGCGGCGGCAGCAGCAGCAGCAGCAAAATCTCCCTCTGGGGCTTCTTCCAAAAAAGGACCCCAATTCCCCCCCCTTGCTGCCCATGGTGGGGCTGCACCCCCCCCCCCGCCCAGCCTTGGGCACCAGCTGGATTGCGCCTCTTCCCCAGGGAAGGAGACGCAAATCACCGTCCCTAGGTGGGACAGGAGCATCCAGCCGCATCTCTTGCAGGAGTAATCAAGCCAGTGAAGGTTTTCTCCTACAGCTTTTCTCCTGTGGGGTGGCTTCCTGGTTCCCTCCTGCTTGCTTTCCATCCCTCTTCTCTTGGCCACTTTGCTCCACAACTGTCTCTCAGTGTTTCTCAACCTCAGCAACTTTTAAGATGTGGGGACTTCAACTCCCAGCATTCCCCAGCCAGCACATCTTAAGTCCACACATCTTAAAAGTTGCTGAGGTTGAGAAACGCTGCTCTAACTTTTCCTTCCTGTCCCGTTTTACCCGCAGAGCTCCCGGTCACCTCTGGGTGCCCCATCCCTCCTGTCCCTTGCCTTTCACACATTCTCTCCTCCCTGGATTCACTTCAAGTGCTACTTGTGGGAAGGCAGACACACCTTGGAGAGGCTCTTCCCAGCATTTGGTTTTCCTCCAAGAGCTTCCTGTTTAATTCCTTACGCTCTTGCTTCTCTTTTTCCTCTGCCTTTTTGCCTGCATTTGAATGTTACACCTCTCTGGACATGAGTCCATCCCCAGAATCTCCCTGTCCTTTCCTTTGGCAAGCAAGCAGCCCACCAAAAGTTTTTATGTTCCTCCTGGTTTCCCTCATGTTTTCTCCAGCCCGGAGTTTTTTTTTCAGGAAGGGCAAGTAAACATGCTCCTTCCCCCTTCTGTTTTTCTCTGTGGGTTATGCTAGACTCAGTTTGTGGTAGCAGGTGATTGGAAAACAGCGTGGTGCTTGGATAATTAACTTCTTGGAGCAAGAGGTTGAGCTGCATGGACTGAGTGAATTAGAATCTCTTTCCCTGCTGCTGGTGGCAGCATGGAGGGCACAGCTCTTGCTGGCTCAAGGATGGGCGCTTGCCTACAACCGGACTTCCCAAAGGAAAGTCGCGTGGTGCTGAATGTTGCAGCCCATGTCAGCCCTCTTCCGCACAGACAGCTGTTTCTTTCAGCCTCAAAATTCCACAGTGCATGAGAGGAGGAATGATTCATATTTGTTTTCATGAATCAGATTTGAAGTCAGCATTTTTTCTCTCCAGCCAAAAATTTCTTAAACCAAATTAGAGCAGTAAGATGCACTTTTTAAAAACTAAAAGCAAAGCACGTTGTAACTCTGGCTAGTTCTTTCATGTGCCTTTCCTTATCTTAGACTTGAGAACTTGCAACACAATTTGCTGCTGATTATGCTCCTCCTAGAAGTAGTGCGGCTCATTTCTGGCCACGTCTCTTTCTTGTGAAAATGAATACGGTAGAGAGAAAAGGACATGAAAAAGTGTTTCCATTTTCTTGTGCTATCTTAAGAAGGAGGTTCTATGTTTTAGATGAATTGGTCCAAAAAAAAAAAGACAGACTGATTTTTTTCTAAAAGGCACTACTTAAAAGACGTTTGGGTATGTTTATAGAATTGTTATAACTTGTAATTTTTAGTTTAACACCCAGTTTCAAACACTTCAGCTTGTTTAGTTAAAGCTGAGTCTGTGTACATGATGTAGCCAGAAGCTTTATGGGTCACTTGTGAGGAGATTTGGGTGTTTAATTTGAATAGGCGGGATATATACTAAGTGAATGTGTGGTCTGTGCATGTTGGCCTTGTTGGGTAAACCAAGTAGGAATCACAACCAGATGAGCTAATTCTACTTGATTATAAAGTTACATTAACAGCATCCCGCCGTCTCCTTTACAGCCCGGGAAACTAAGGAGGGTCCCTTCTGAGCCTCTTGCCCCACCCACTGTCCAGCTGCAGGCTATGCCCTCCCTTATCTGACCATTCCCTAGGCGGCATCTCATTACAATGCATGACACATGGTTCCATGATTTTATCATTCTGAATGATAAAATCGTGGATTATGTAATGAGTTTGAGAGGAAAGGTTCTGCTAATATGGCAGTCATTTTATCTGTGTTTACAGTGCCTGATCCAATTTTACTTTTTGGCAGAGAAGGGCTCCCAAAGCAGCTTGTGTCTGAATCTGTACAAAGATGCAATAAGTAGAGATAAAAAGTCATATCTTCCTGTCTATGGCAAGTAATCATCTGATTTCCAGGCCTTTCCCTTTATTTAGCAGAGTATAAAGAAGTACAGAAGGAATTGGGTTGGTTAACAGCAGATTTTCCAGGCTCTGCAAGAAGAACATGGGAATTGCCTTGTACCATGTCAGACTAACTCAATATGATCTATATGAAGATGGTAGCAACCCTCAGGTAGGAGATGTCCTTAAAGATGGTAGGGAATGAATCTGGGATGTTCTTTGTGCAAAGCATATGTTTGATCCCTTTTTGTAGTCCAGACCTGGGATGATGGACAGATGGCCAACCCATAGAAGCCGTTTAGATGGTGATCACTGGATCTTACAGTTGGAGAGAGAGTCCAAGTTTCAAGTTCTTTCCTCCAGAGGAAGAGGGCAGCAAGAGGGACAGGTAGACTAAGGAAGCTCCATTTGCAGGAGAAATGCCAGGACCATGGCAACACAGGTCCCCTTCCTCACTGTTGTCCTTGGTTACCTATGGCAAGAAAGAATGACTTCCAGATAACTAAGGTAGACCGCTTTTCTTAATTGGCAGGGGATTGAATATTTTCCTTTCCAAATGACCTAAAACAGCTAGACTAAAATATTTCTTCTGGGAATTTGAAGTATAGGAGCATTGACTGGAACAGCCCATTGGCAGTAGTAGAAGTGACTATAGGACCATCAGCTCTTAATTACGCATGTTCATTGGCTAATTTGCCTCTCCCAACCTGGATTTTAACTCCCAAGATTCCCAGACAGTTCACTTTCTCAGAAAAGTCTCATACATCCGCTGCTTACCAAAAGGGAACATGTAAAGTGTGTGCATGGGGAAGGGTTCCTGTCATTCTTAACTCTCTTATTATGTGCCTTAATAAAATGTAGGCTGTAGGTCTGGATTGTATAACATCAAACTGAGAGGACAGAACGCAAATAAATGCAGACTCTGCAGAGAGTTGAACTGCTGGTGGTTTGGGGGGCATGTTGGCGTCACATTTGCCTTGAAGCAGTTCCTGCTGGCATCAAATTTTGTTTCCTGATCATGCCCTGCAGGAGCCCTGGTGGTCTTAGGCGGCAGAAGGAGCGGGCACTGAAAAGTCTGCCTTTGTTTTCTGAAGAACAAGACCGCCCCTCCCTTGCCCTTTGCCTTCATGAACTGCCTGGGATCCCGGATGCCAGGATGGAGGCAGGACCACTGGAGAGGCTGCCAGACTTGCTTCAGAGCGGCCCGAATCACACGTAGGCAAGAGGGTTGGGGGTCTGTTTCGGCTTCTCTTTTCAGAGGTTCCTTTGAATTAGAAGCACCATGAAGAGGAGTCAACAGACAATGCAACTGGAGGTGTTCTTTCAGTAGACGATTTTTACAATAAATACTTACTGCATTTTAAACTTATATAAAGGTAGGGTTGGTTTGTGCAATATGCATTGCATAAAAGCATATTGCAGCAACAACCAGAAGCTCTCAAAAGCCACAAGAGGAGCCGAGACCCAGCAGTTCTGGCCTGGTGTTCTGAGGGACTCGAGAGCTTTTCCTTCCGTTCTTTGTCAGAGTGAATCTGCCAGGTTCCCATCCACTCAAAGTGCCTTTCTGAGTTATACAAGCACTTGGGAGCCACTTCTGACATGGATCTAAAAGGGAGGACAGGTTGCAAAGAAGGAAAAAATACAACACAAACTTGCAGTTATAATTGAGTGAGTTAATGGGCCACCGTAAAGCTGTACCAACCTGACCCTCCCTCCCCCCCATCATATTTCTGAACATATTTATAAATATGGGTCAAAGGAGTTTGGGGTGAATGAGGGATCTTCAGATAGGATCCGGTCGGTCCTTGGTTGCCGCAGAGAGTTTGGCCCTTTGAGTCTGAATCTGGGAGAGTTCGGGCAAGCCAACGTAGTCAAGGAGATTTGCCTTCCGAGGGGATTTTTTTCACTGCTTCTCTGCAAGAAAAGTACCTTTTCTTCTTCTGCAAAGAACTGACGCACAAGAAGCATTGTTTGCGGTTGTGATTTTGTCTGAACGACACACAGCGAGGTCTGGTTTTAATCTGCCCGTTATGCATCTTCCTTAAATAAGTCATCTGACCAAAGGTTGGCATCTGTGTTTAACGAGGTGTGGGTGTTTGAACTTTGGGTGTAAGAAGTTGCAAAAGGAAGCTCTGTAGTGAGGTTGGCGAGAGAGGGCCCAGTGCTGAATGAAGTGGAGTTGTTGGCACTGATAGAAATTAGATGAATGTTATAAAATACATAGTATCTCACTACGTAGTCTTAGCAAATCACCTGTGTAGCGGCTGACACCGTGCAAAATATTTTGTGTGTCTTCTTACTTAGAGGTTACTTGCTGCAGGGAGAAAGAGAGATGTTAAGAGCCCCCACAGTTTAAATGTTTTCATCTTGTTCTCCAGATGAGATGAGACCTAATTGTGGAAGTGAAACCATTCAAAGAGCAGAATAACTGATTGATACATTTAAAGGTTTCTTTTATCATTAAACATAAAGTCAGTTGCATGACAGCTACATTAGCCATCCCCAACCTGGTGCCCACTGGATGTCTTAGACTACATCTCCTAAGACCCCAGCTAGGCTTGGGCGTGCCTTGGCTGATGGGTGCTGTAATCCAGTCCGTTGGATGGGCTTCTGAAGCCAGTGCCTGGAGAGCTTATAAATAGGAGGAAGCTTCTGTTCCAGCTCACCCAGACCTCCCCTGGAGGAAGAAACAAGTATCACCACTGTGATAGTTGTGCTTTCTCTGTGGGGTCATGAAGTCCATTTTGGGGCTTCATCATCAGATCTCGGAGATATTTTCTCACACTTCACAGGTAGGAAACCCAGACTGATGCGTGTATTTCTTGGGAAAGCTGCCTTTGCATTTGGGACTCAGAAGAACAGCGGACTTGGTACATCTTTTTCACAGTTGGCAGGCATCTGAGGAGCAGCTCATCCAGATTCTGTGGGCCATCAAATGGATGCTGTCACTGAGACAGCAAGAGGCAGACGCTGCTTCTGAATGTTCCCCCATTCAGAAATGGAAGGCGGGGGACATTAGAGAGAGAAACATATTGGATGGGAATTTAGTGTTCTGATTTTCTTTTGCAAGATCATTTTTATTGAACAGAGCTTTGAAAAACATTGTGCAGACTGGACTACTGTATTCTTGTGTGTGTGTGTGTGTGTGTGCAAAAGCCTCTCTATTTTGCTAAAGAAGCTGTTCATATGACAACCATGATAGTTCAATGGTTATGGTCTTGGACAAGGAATTGAGGGCTTCTGGTTTAAGTCTACCCTGAGATAACGTGTATGTACTGGATAACTTTGAGTCTTTCTCTGGCTCAACCTTCCTCACAGAGCAGATAGAGAACAAGGTTGTATTTTTTCTGATTGCATTTTTGCATCCCTCATTGTTTTTGGAAGAGTCACTTTGGTAACTTGCAATTTCAGCCAGTTGAAAAATTAATCTGGTGAAGGGCCTCCTCTCTCATTTAATGACCCGGAAGTCAACCTTTCTGAGGAATCCCTCCTTAGAACAGGTCTCAGATCCACTTTGGTCACCCGCCTTGCTCAGGTCTCCTTTGTAGCAACGATTACCCTCAGTGCTCAGAAAAACTCCCCCCTCTTGGTTGTCCTCTCTGCTGGAAAGGAGCAGGATGTCCTTATGCCTCCTTGTGCACAAGTATACCCTTCAGCGTGGATCATGAGACGCCTATTGCTGCTTTTCCCAAAGAAGCTGAGAGAAATACAATCTCTGAAATAGCTTTTTATGGTCAGAAGACCTCATCCTGTGCCAAGAGATGAGGTCTGTGATTTACAGAACACTGCATTGCTGCACATCTTCTCTCATCCCAGAGGTTAGGATGGCATTAGGCTTGGTCAACTCTTGTGTCCCAGTGGCGTTTGGCAGGTACTTGGAACAGATGGCCATCAGAAGTCTGTCTTGGCCTTGGGTCCTCCTAACACAGTGCAGAGAAGGGTAGAAATTCTGCATTCAGAGGCTACACGGTTCCATTCCCAACGGGAGAAGGAAGCAATGGGGCCGGCTTTGTCTGTGACCCTGGGAAGTGTCAGCCAGCTAGGATGGACACAGCACAGGACTCAGGAAAAACCAGGGGCTTCTGTTCCTACAATCAGGTTTTGAGCAAAGATGCAAGCAAATGACTTGCCTTCGGGGGGTGTCTCAACTGGGACTCCCGATGGAAGGCTACCATTTCAGCAGGTTGCAGAGAAAGCTTGTCCCTGTTGACCAACAAGCATTTCAAATTACTCTCAGCTGCTGAAGAAGCTAAAATAGTTGGGCACTCTTGAGCTTCTTTGGGGTTCTGGCCTAAGAGGATCCATAACGGTAGAAAACCTGACCGAGAAAATCCAATGAATAACAGGGCATTTGGGCTTGGGGTCCCCACAGTGGGCAGGTCATGGAGTGAACCCTGCATTAATTGGAGGCAGCAGGCAGCCTTCATAACAATGTGCCCAGGTCTTCCACGGGCTGGCATAGGCTGGGCCATCAGGAGCCGTGTCACTTAAAGTGCAGAAGGGCGGGAGAAGGGATCTTGGAATTCTTAAATGGCTGGTGGGTGTTTACCCTTCTGTCTTATCTGGTCCATGTGTTTGTCTGTTTTTCTCCAATAGGTCACCAACCAAAGTCATTGGGCCGTCGGTACTGAAGGTGCGTCTCTTTGTGTCAATGTTTGTGCCATGCAGCGTCTACATCTTGAGGGCAGCCAGGTCATCTCAGTCTGAAGGCATCAGAACTACAGACCCTAGGTAGACAGGGCCAAACACAGAGAGGAAGCCACATGTTCTTCCCTTACATCTGTTAACGGGTGTGATTCAGTCTCCCCAACCAGATGCCCTCCGGCCTGCTGACTAGGGGGGTGAGAGGAGCTGTGGTTGGGGGCCCTGTGTTGTGCGTGCCTGTTCCAGCACCTTTGACGTTGCCTTAGACTCAGCCTGATGGGAATGGAAAGAGCCTCAGCTGGACCCAGCCACCCTTTGCTGCGTTCCAGTATCAGGTCCCGGGAGGAGCAGAGCTCCATGTTAAAAAGAAATCTGGCTGACTCAGGAATATTTGGGGAAGGGGCAGTCAGCGTCTGGTTAATAGTGCTCAGCACTCACGGAAGTGAGTGGTTTGGCTTGGCTGCTGCAGGCAGGTTCCTATTTCTGCTTTGTGATTTCCTGCTCCGCAGGTGCCTTAGTGTGATGTGAGATAAAGCTAGAGCATTCCTCTTTGCAGAACCTTCAATTGCGCGAAAGCAAGCGCTAAAATTAGAGCATCAAGGTGGAACTGCACCTTCCCACACAGCCAATTAATATGCAGCCACTGCAGGCAGCAGCAGCAGCACCACCACCACCAAAAGCTGGCAATTATTATTCAGTAGGCCAGGATCTGTGTGCCTTGGGGGTCAGGGAAGTGGGGGGCAGAACCCAAGTCTCTCTGGTGCAAAAGGCTGGAGATGGTGTTGGGCTGTTTCTCCAAGGCAGCCTCGTCCGAGCCCCGTGAGTTAGCGCTCAAGAATAAAAGCTGCTCTGTTTAAAGGCCTCAAGCTTCCCCCTTCCAAAATTGTCCAAGGCAGCTTAAAAGGAAATACCAAAACATCAAAAGCATCTGATGAAGATCAGAAGATTGCACCAACAGATGTAGTCAGTGGCTCTACCTTCCCAGTGGTGATAGGATCGTCTGGATCGGGTTGGTCGTCCACGGGGTTGTGGAACTAAAGCGACAGCAAGCTTTGCAGCCGCTGCCCACCCAAATCCACCACTGAGGCCCAGTGCAGAACTAGCACTTGGCACCTGGCATCTTTTGGGATGCCTGGGCCCTGGCAGTTCTCTAGTGATGCCAGATGGTACCCCATACCCTCTTAAGGTCTGCTCTGCTCGTCTGCTGCTGGTAACTCTCCCCCGCTATCCCCCATGAAAGAACGGGCTAATAAAGTGGGATCAGCCATCCCATGGAAGGTACTGCATAGAGCCTCCGTTCTTATCTGCCCTTGGATCCCAGATGCAGCCTGCTTTCAGTTTTCTGAGAAAATGCAGCCGATGCCAAGATATTTAGGGGCAACCCACCTGCTTCTAGTAATTCAGCATTATCAACGTCAGTCTCCTCCAACCTGGTCCCTCCGCCTGGGTATAGGCAGCAGTTCTCCTCACCCCAGACAGCCCAACCATCCGGGCTCAGGTTCTTGCAGCCTCCTTTGCTGAGGCCTGATTATCTGCGATCCTGTTTTCCAGGAGCTGGGCGGAAGTTCTCTGGTGGCTGACCATGAAGGAAAAAGTCTGGACATCAAGCAAGATGACCCCAGAGAGGTTTGTTCTGCGGGACCTGAAAATACCCACCAAGGGATGACAAAGGGCTGTTGAGTGGCTTTTCTCAGCAACTTATGGAAAAGCTGTTTCACTTTTGCCACCTCTTGAGCCTTGTGGTTGAAATGGTTTATGTTTTGTTTTGCAGTACTTTTTTCAGAATAAGATGTGCTGAAGAGAGAAAAGATAAAAAGCTGTTGTGTTCTGAAAGGGTTTAGGGAAACTAGATCTGTGCCTTATTTTGGGGTCTGCCAAGTGGGTACAGGGATCAAAATCATTAAGCTGCTGATGTTACAATGCGGCTGTTGTTAAGCTAAAGATTTCTTAAGGTTTTATGTCTCCAGAGTGTAGTTTGAAGCATGTGCTTTTGTCTCTATTATTAATCTATACTTATTTATAGATAAATCTGAACCCCCCATTAAAAATGGAATCAGCAGAATAAAATGTAAATATAACAAGAATAAAGAATTAAAGGAAGTGTGGGCTGCACTCCTGGATTTTCATGGTGGTCCCCATCCAAGTGCCAAACAGCTCTGATTCGGCTTAGCTTTTTTCAAGGTCAGCCAAAGTTGCCTGGGGTTGTTGCCTGCTGTGGCTGCGCCTATCCTGATTTACTATAAATCTTTTCTTTTCAAAAAAGGCAATTTGGTCTATTTAGAAAAGAGTTCCAGTGTCTCCCCAATACTGGATGCTTGCGATAGGAGGTTTCTTTCAAGGTTGAACCCTGTGTGGTAAACCCACATGCATGCTTTGTTGAGCCCCTCTGAGGCTGGTGGCCGGCCTCCCGGCGACCCCCAGGGAGTCCAGCTAAAACGGCCCTTTCTTGGGAGGAGGAGAACAAGCGTCCGGAGCTGTGATGCCACGGCTGCTTTTGGTGGGGGGAGGCTGGCGTGCCTCCCTCATGAAAGTTGCCCTTGGGTTTGTCCGGGTGATGCTGCTTGCCTGAAACGGCCCCTTCTGGAAATGTGCTAGGAACGTCCCCAGTGAGCGCCAGCCTTGCTTGGGAATTTGCTGATTGTGCGGTGCCTTTGTTTGCTCTTTAGATCATTGACAATATCATAGAAGAAAGCCAGAAAGCCCACCAGCTTGAGGATGGCCCCTTGGCTCTCCCGAAAAAGGAACTGACCAACCCCTCGTCACACGCGAACGCTTGGATTTCTGGAGCAGATCTCCTCCATCACATTCCCGAACTCCTGATTGCGGAAGCCACGCCGCAAGGGCCTCGTGAAGCCCCTGCCGGTCTGGCCAACGGGGTGGCGTCCCCGGAGGCCCCGCCGCCTCCCAGCAGCGAGGGGGCAGATCACCCCAAAGGGGAAGATGCTGCCGTCTCCGCAGGAAGCCCAGGCGAGAGCCAAGGGCGGAAAGCAGCAGCCGGAGGAGACCAGCCAGAGGAGGAGAGTGACGAAGTGGCCGACCTGAGGCAGGCAGACGGATTTGACCAGGCGCCACCCTCGGATCTCTTGCCTCCCCAAGGCGGCTCAGCCGCTGACGAGATGCCTCCAGCCAAACCCCCCCGGCAGCTCACTGCGGAGCCGGACATCGTCGCCAGCACAAAGAAATCTGGCCCGGCCCGGCCTCCC